CCCAATTACCTGCATATGATTATCTGCATAATTAAGGAAATCTGAGGCTCCAGGATGCAGTAAAAGCAAATAAAGTATGAGAAGTTAGTGAAGAAATGAAAGGAGAGAGACTGTCAGAAACGCTACAAGTGGTCCCAGGACCATGTTCTCGCCTAGAAATCAAGAGGATACATTTTTTTCAAAGAGAAATGTTTTTTGATGTTAAAAACTTGAAGAAATTAAAAAAGAATAAAACATGGGAAGGTGGAGATGGGTCTTGGATTTGCTAAGTGAAAATGTTGACTCAAAAAGAAAATATTTTTCCTATAAAACAGATGATATTACATTCATTTAAGCCATGGTTTCTCACCCTCAGCACTGTTGATATTTTGGGCTCAATAATTCTTCGTTATGAGAAGCTGTCTTGTGCACGGTAGAATGCTGAGCAGTATCCCTAGCCTCGACACACTAGATGCCAGTAGTAACACCACCACCACCACTTACGACAGTCAAAAAAATGTCTTCAGACAGTGTCAAATGTCCCTGGTTGAGAACCACTGATTTAAGTATTTATTTAGCGCTCACAATGCACATCGTACTTCATTAGATCCTGCAAGGAGTCAAAATATACCACATTTTTCACCATTAAGGAGAATGCATTCTAATTGTCCTAAACTGAGTTATTCTGCTATTTCTCCTATTACTTTGGTTTAAATTATTTATATACACATACATACACACATACACACATGTATGTACATGCACACACATGCATGTTATTTCCCCAAGTTAACATTATGTTAATTATGGAATAATGTTAGAAAAGCAGTATATTGGAAATATTGGTGTTCCAGTGCTGCGTGTTTTATTACAGTGTAGGAAAACTTGATTATGGCTCTATGACAAGACTAGTCAGCAATTTTCAAATTAAATGTTGTATATTCTAGAGGCTCAAATTATGTTTTTCTCTCTCATTTCTTATAAAGACAAAAATACTCTTCTGGATCCATAGGTGTGTTCTGATTTTTCAAAGTACCAGTTATCTCTTGGTAGAAAGTATAATGCTCTGTGTTAAAAGTGTTCTACTGAGTTCCTAAGTTCTTAATAGGAATTTAGGATTTGGGACTGTAATTTGACTTTAGAAACATTTCTAGGAAAGATTACCATCAAAATGATTTCATGGCAAGAAGGATCTTTAGTGTTTGAAATGGGCTCTCCATCAAAAGAAGCAACTACTCATCTTTCCAAAGCTGACTTACTTGTTGCTTAGGAACAAGAAAGGAAATCTGACCTCACTCTTTTGTTTCTGCTGCTTGTGACATTGAACAAGGCCCCAGACTATTGAGGCTAACACTGAAATCCTTCTTTTCCCCACAGACTGCGTCATCTGCCATCAAAGGTGCTATTCAGCTGGGAATAGGATACACAGTGGGTAATCTCACGTCCAAGCCGGATCGAGATGTTCTCATGCAAGACTTTTATGTGGTGGAAAGTGTGTTCCTACCCAGGTAAGAACACCGTGATTTGTGATGATTTCCCTGCTGAGGAACCTTCCTCTTCATGGCATCCCCACATTGAAGGCTTCTCTACTGATACAAGACTTTTCCACCCACGTATGTGTGCATCATGTACTGATGTCCATGTTGGACCTCTGGCAGACCCCAAAACAATCCACGTGACTCTTACTTTCTGTTGCATCAGGTGGCTTGCATTTTTTATATAGAGATGGTAAATAGGGTTCATCCTATGGGCCAGTTGTAATTAATTTTGATAATGCCTGGAAAACCCTCTGGAGATTCAGGGGGAAGGAGTACAGACGTGGCGGAGTAATGACTGCATAGCTTTAGACAAAGAGAGCACCCAGGAAGCAGTGGCAGGTGCCAAGTTTTGCTAGCCCTGATTTACAAGATGGGCGGGGTGGACTCACATTTGGGCCTTGTAACTGAGTACACTCGTGCATCTCCTTTTTTAACTTTCCTCCAGAGAACGTATAAGAATCTCTCTATCTTGACACCATATTTGCAAAGACACCCAAGTTACCCATATGTGTCACCCTTGACTTTGTCATATTTGGGGGAAAAAAATCAATTCAACAAATAAATCTGAGATGGATAGTGGTGATGGTTGCACAACAATGTGAGGATATGTAATGCCACAGAAGTGTACACTTAAAAATGGTTAAGGTGGTACAGGAATCACACCATAATAAAGGTGTTAAAATTTTTTAATTAAAATATATATATAAAAGTGGCTAAGGTGATAAGCTTTTTATTATGTATACTTTACCAAAATAAATAAAAAATTTAAAACTCTAATACTAGCTTTATATAGGAAGAGAAATACTCGTTATTAAATTGGAAATGTCACTACTACTGATAGGATTTTTCAAAGAAACAAAAATACAGATTTGGAGGCTTCAGGGTAATTATACTGTCTTTGGGGCTATGAGGACTGACTTAGACATATTTATATTTTAAAATAAATGTTTCCAAAATAAGCCAATTTTATCATCAGTTATTACTAGGCTTGAGTGAGAATGGCTGGGCCAACAGTTTTCTTCTCAGTGTTCTCATAGCCTTTTTTTTTTAAATTTTTTTATGGAGTTATAGTCATTTTACAATGTTGTGTCAAATTCCAGTGTAGGGCACAATTTTTCAGTTATACATGAACATACATATATTCATGGTCACATTTTGTTCTCGCTGTGAGCTACCACAAGATCTTATATATATATTTCCCTGTGCTATGCAGTATAATCTTGTTTATCTATTCTGCATATGCCTGTCAGTATCTACAAATTTTGAAATCCCAGTCTGTCCCTTCCCACCCTCGCCCCCTTGGCAACCACAAGTTTGTATTCTATGTCTGTAGGTTGTTTTCTGTTTTATATTTATGTTCTTTTTTTTTTAGATTCCGCATATGAGCGATCTCATATGGTAGTTTTCTTTTTCTTTCTAGCTTACTTCACTTAGAATGACATTCTCCAGGAACATCCATGTTGCTGCAAATGGCGTTATATTGTTGTTTTTATGGCTGGATAGTATTCCATTGTGTAAATATACCACAACTTCTTTATCCTGTCATCTGTTGATGGACATTTAGGCTATTTCCATGTCTTGGCTATTGTAAATGGTGCTGCTATGAACATTGGGGTGCAGGTGTCTTTTTGAAGTAAAATTCTTT